TTCAAACCGGAGTCCGGTTTGAATAAGTATTCTCACACTTGTTATCTAACTGTCTGTCTGTGCTGGGCTAGCTTGATTATCACTTCAAAAGTTTTTTTTCTCTTAATTAATTGGCCTCTCAGAGGTGGTAAGACAACTCCCACCTGTTTATGCTCTCTGTATGTGTGTATATATATCTCCTCAATATATGTTCCATTCTATATGCATCTGAAGAAGTGGGCTGTAGTCCACGAAAGCTTATGCTCTAATAAATTTGTTAGTCTCTAAGGTGCCACAAGTCCTCCTGTTCTTCTTTTTCTTATTAGACAAAGCCTAAGAGACTCACCCCTAGAGATTCTCTCTCCAAATCAAGACTGAGGCACATTGGCAGGGTGACATGAGATAACTGGTTCTTATGTTGGGAATCATTTAAAGATAATACAGAATGGGCCACTCTTACTCTGAAATAAGTGTATCCACACAAGGGTTTCCACTGGGTTAACTAAATCAGTTACTCCTGATGGAATTATGCGCCAAAAATTAAAAATTATGCGCACAATATTTTAAAATTCTGCAAATTTTGTCAATAAATAAATGTGGCTCCAGCATGGCAGTGGGGAGCACAGGCCATTGGCTGCATTGAGGTGGAAGATCACCATGAAGCCCCCACCTTCCCCAGTACATGGCAATGAGGCTGCACCTGACCCTGACACAGTGCAAGAAACACCCCAGGGCCCTGCCCCTCTGTGCCAGGCACATCAGGTGTGGGTGAACAGGCTCAGCTCAGCAGGATCCAAGTGTGAAGGGGCTTAGTGTGGGGGGGATCCAAGTTTGGGGTGAGAGGTTTCTGTGGGGCAATCTGGGTGTGGGCAGCTCAGTGGGAGATCTGGATGCACAGGGGCTCATTGTGGGGGTTCTGGGTGCAGGGGCAATGGGACTCTGCAGGGGATCAAGGTAATGGTGGTTGGGCTCAGCGGGGGGGTGTGGGGAGATGGGGCTTGGTGGGGAGGTCTGGGTCTGGCAATTTGGGCAGGGAGTCCGGGTGCTCGGGGAGCGGGGCTTGATGGGGTGGGGGTCCAGGTGCAGCTGGTTGGGGCTCAGTGGGGTGGGGCTCTGCATGTGTGGGGCTTGTCGGAAGGGTCCAGGTGTAGGGGGGTATGGTATGTCAGGATGAGGGTTCGATGGGCTTGCTTAATGGGGGAGCCCAAGCTGCTGCCAAGGGGATGCCGCATGCCAGGATCCTGCTTACCCCCGTAATTCCCCTATCCCCTTTTCTTCTCCATCCCCTTCCCCTCACTCCCACATTCCCCTCCCCCTACCCTATTTCACCTCCTTTCCTTCCCCACTGCCTCCTCCACTCAGCCCCCTTCCCTCATTTCCTCCACCCCCACTTACCCAGCCCCACTGTGGGAACTCACTATTCCACAGAAAATAGGAAGGCTCCCAGAACACAGAAGGGAAGCACAACTGGCACTAGGACCCAGGAGGTTGTGTTCAGCTGCAGAGTCAGTGGAACCTGAGACCAGACCGGAGCTGGGCAGCTCTGCTTTTGCAGAAATGAGGAGGGCAATGGCATGTAACCCCATGTGCCCCCCCATGCCTCGCCTCTGTTTGGGGGGAAATCCCCCCCACCCCCAAAAGCTGCACACATGGGAAGCATGCCGGCAGACCTGTATACCTGCTAGGAGTCCCACTGACTTCACCTGATACTGACATATCTCCACTCTTCAAGACTCCATGAGATTGTAAGGGCTCATCCTTGCACATCCTGTTGCAGGACTGAAAACAAAGGCTCTCAGTCACATTCTTTTCACCAGCATTAAGTTTCCTGGTAGAGAAGGATGAAGAGGAATAAAAGCATTTCTACTCAGAATAGAATACTCTAACAATACAAATAAAGAATTCCCTTGTATCATCAGTTATTTATTAATTCATTATTGTAGCATATTTTATTTCAGGAAATCCAATTTTACCTATATCCATATTTGTCAACTAATTTAGTAAAAGCTTATTTTGCCTATTGGGGATGTGTATGAAGTAGAGGCTGTATGGGATGTATATGTTTTAAATAGAAACTGCCTGCTTTGCTATATATCTTTATTCTTCATGTTAGTTTATTAAGAAATGTCACATTTTCTTGTGTCTAGCACAGGGGTTGGCAACCTGCGGCTCCAGAGCCAGATGTAGCTCTTTGGCTGCCCCATTGTGGGCAGCTGTTTCTTGAGGAAGTGCAAGGTACAGTCTCTGTCCATTAGGCGTTTATCACAGGTGGCTCACAGCCCGGCAGCACAGCAGGGCTCTGGCCCCACGCCGCTGCCAGAAGTGGCTGGCTGCTGGCATGTCTCTGCATGCCCCTTGGGGGGAGGGAGACAGCAGGTCTCCATGCAATGCCCGCAAGCTGTTCTTTGAAAGGTTGCCGACCCCTGGTTTAGTATATAAAAGCTATATTCAGCTATAGGGAAAGTGACATTTACTCCTCTTTCTGGTTTTTGTAGTCGTTGAAAAGCTCAGGGAAATGATGGAAGAAGCTGAAAATGCAATAAATGGTTTTAAAGAAGAACAGCGACTAATGTATGTTTCTACATGCTTTTATAGTCTCGAGAGAACTGAAATCAGTCACACAAAACCAAAATAAAATATAACATAAATGTATGGTATAAATCACTCTTCTCTTCCTTTTTTCCATCCTGTTTCTTTTTCTGTAATGAATAATTTATGTAAACATATATTCAAAGCAAACTTTTATGACTAGATTACCTATAGTAGTATCATTCAATAACCATATGATTATGGTGAAGGCATTCCAATAGTGGGGGTCTGGATTAGATTAAACTGATTTTTAAAGGCACACTTTTTTTCTTTTCTCTCTCCCTGTCCTCCCAATGATAGCAATATAGGAAAGGAGTATGGTTGTTTGGGTGCCCTACCTCTGCATTTCCATCAAGTTCTCTTTTAAGAGTAAACTTAACTCTGACTTTCCTGGGTTTATAATGCTTAGTTTGGGGATAATTACAAAATTTCTGTACAGTAGAACATCAGAGTTATGAACACCAGAATTACAAACTGACCAGTCAACCATACACCTCATTTGAAACCGGAAGTAGACAATCAGGTAACAGCAGAGACACTCCCTTCCCCCTCCCCAAAAAAGCAAATACAGTACAGTACTGTGTTAAATGTAAACTACTAAAAAAAGGGGAAAGCATTTTTCTTCTGCATACTAAAGTTTCAAAGCTGTATTAAATCAATGTTCAGTTGTAAACTTGAAAGAACAACCATGATGTTTTGTTCACTGTTACGAATAACCTCCATTCCCAAGGTGTTTGTAACTCAGAGGTTCTACTGTAATTTATTTTACCCTAACTTAGTGATACTTAATCTGAACTTTAGCCCCACTTTAACATAGTTTTTGGCTGGGAATTAAATAATCACAAAGTCTGTTTCAGGTGAACTCACGGGTATTGTCTGATCTTTTATTTAAAAGTCAATGTGTGTTTATGTTGGTTTTTTTACTTAGATATGAAGAGCTTATGAAGGAGGAGAAGATTTCTACTAATGAGCTCAGTGCCTTACAGAAAAAAATTGACACATGGGCACTGGGTAGTTCAGCCATAGAAAGAGTTTTCAGGTTACCATCAGGCAAGGTTCCAGTAGACAAAACACTGCAAAATCATCTACCTGAAGAAGTAGTAGAATTTGAAAGGTTCCTTCAGCAAACAGGAGGACGACAAGGAGGCTGGGATGATTATGATCATCAACACTTTTTGAAAGTATGGACAAAACATAAAGGAAAGCCATCCTATATAGAAGAAGCCCTTGAGTATCTCTCTGGAAGAACAAAAGAGGATATTCAACAGCATGAGACATGGTATCAAGAATTTCTGATTTTAGAGGAAAGAAAAAAAGAGGTAAGAGAGTTTTAAGATTCAAAGTATGTTTGTATTTTAAACAAATGTATTTCTTAAAAGCCACACACACTTTTCACCCTCTTCCATCAAGCTGTGATGGCAGACATAGTTTTTTTCCTACAGAAAACTAGTTCTCTTTAAAATTTTCACTTTGCTGGTATTGTTCTAAGGAATGATCAGCAGATGATGCTCTAAGCACACGTTGGAGTGTTGTGTGCAGTAGCTGAGCATATTACAATGATTATTAATCATGTTTGTTGTAGTCATACCTAAGAACCAACCAAGAATGGGGCCCCATTGTGCTAGACACTGTACAGATTAGTAGACAGTCTCAGCCCCAAAGAGCTTTCAGTCTAAATAGACAAGACAGATATGTGGGGGGAGGATGGGGAGAGAAGAACTAGAACAGTTGCAACACACCTTGGCTCCAATGGTTCTGAAAATAGAAATTTGGAGGAGGGTCCTGGACCTGGGTCTCCTTCGTGGTAATAGGTTAGCTGGCATAAACATTGATATTTTTTAAGCAAAAAGTTTGGTTTTACTGTTCATATATGTGTGTGTGAGATAATATAAAAATAATTGAAAAATGTTTGCACAGTGAAAGCATCTGATTTGTTAATTAATGAGCCTAATTATCATTCTGCAGCAATGTGGATGCCATAAAACTTTACATATTCAAATTATTGAAGATATTAAACTTCAAACACTGTGAGATAGGTAGATAAATAGTTGTTTCCATTTTACATGTGGGGAAACTAAGAGATAGTAAGCTACTTGCCAAGGTGAAAAAGCATCTATGTCTGGAGTTCCTACCTCCTAGTCTTGTTCTTAGATCACACCTTTCTGTCCACTGAGTCTCTCCTTTGGAAATAATTATCTTGGAAGAGTAAGATTTTATAAGAATAAGATTTTTTTCTTACTGTTCTCGTGCAGTCTATTGAAAAGTGGAAAATGAAGAAGCAACAAGAAAAACAAGAAATCTTAAAGCAAAAGCAGAAGTCAGAGAAAATGCTCAAAACAGAAAATCTTCAACAAGAAGCAGCTCAGAAGCAAAAAGCAGAGAAGGAAAGGAAAAAGCAACAAGCAGCTGTCGAAGCGTGGAAAAGACATAAAGACATAGAATTTGCAATGAAACAAGCATCTCGACTGAAAGAGGAAGAAGAGAGGGAGAAAAAGCAGCAGAAGGAACGCCAGCGCCAGTTCCAACTGAAGCTACTGCTAGAAAAGTACACTCGGCAGAAGGAGGAACAGGAGGCGCTCCAAAGACTTGAAAAGGAGAAGAGGGAGGAGGCTGAAAGGGAAGAGAGGAAGAGAATTGCTGCCGAAGAAATTTCTAAGTTTCAAGAGCGAGTGAGTAGTCACATCCCTCATTCGTGTTTCAAATCTTCTGGATGTGTGGTACAAAGTAGACATAGTATTAGAATGTGGAAGACTAGGGAGTTAATTATCAAGAACAATTATTTCAACTTTAAGAGCTATTTTTGATTCACAAACTACATCTGTATGAAGATAGCTCTGTCTGTGTCTTGGGAACAGCTCATCATTTTGTCTAAAATAATGTTCTGTTGCTTTTCCTCAGTGTTCCAATTCAGCAAGATACTTGAGCACATGTTAAAGTACAAGAGTACTCCTGTTAACTTCAGTGGGACTAGTTAACTGTTTAAAGTTAGGTATATGCTTGAGTATATTCCCGAATTGGGGCCTAGGTGGGGGACCAGTCCATTGCCAATATTTGTTTTAATTACCATTTGTTTACAAAAAATGGAAATTAAATCTTGCAAATATATAGCAGTACAATATCAAGGGTTTGTTTTCAAAAGGTAAATTTTAGAAACTGGCCCGTGTAATTTAATTGTGTGCTTTGATTTTTTTCTCTGTACTCTACCTGTGGCACACAAAGTTCCGAGTCCTGAGGACTGAAATGCTTTAGTCTTAACTACAATAATTAGGTTCCCTAGAATGGTATCTGGGTGAAATGTAATAGCCTATGTTATACAGGTCTGATTGGATTTATCAAAAGGTAACTTCTGTGCTTAAACAATATGAAATCTAGGACACATTTGGTTTCTAAAGCATTCAAAATAAATTCTGATTATATGAAAAGTCTATTGGTGCTTTATTCTTTTTGATTCCCAAAAGTGCTCAATATTTCATCCATGGTATATTTTCCAGGATCTTCATAAACTTGAAGTAAAGATTCTAGAAAAGCAGGCAAAAGAGGAGGAAAAAATAGAAAAAGAAAAAAGACTGGCAAAGTTAAGAGAGAAGGTAACTAACATATTTACTGAATTGATTGAATTGATATAATCTGATGAAACATATCTTCAAGCAAAGGGACAAAGTGGGTGAGATACCAGTAAAAAAAAAAGTTTTGTTATCCGGCACTTTATCAACCAGATAGCTCTATTAACTGGCATTTCTGATATCTCCCAATATCAATGTTCAATCTAGTAACCGGGACTAGTATACTGCCCAGGAGGTTATGCAGTTGCACATTCTGCACGCCTCTTTTATGCAAAAGAGGTAGAAGACAAATAAGCAAGTTATATCAGAGATTTATTCAAAAAAGCAGCTTCTAGGGTGTGTTATAAGGTCATTACAGATTCAGCCCAATCTCCTACACCTTCTACATCTACAATGATAATAGGGTCATTATTATCAACATCAGAGGCACTGCAAGGTCCTGAAGTGCCTTCTTAATCATCAAAGAAAGATTAAATTATATTCTGTATTGTTTTAGTGTTAAGTGTATTTTTAGTGATCCCGGTGTATGCCATGTGCTGCCCATAGTGATATGTAGTGTCATATGATAACCTACTGTATAAAAAACTTAACCTGTATACACCTAAGTCCTTCAAGAAACCAACCATTCTGCAGTGCAGTACTACTACTGGATTGGTGAGTACCTGTATACTATTTTATACCTTATTCATTTTATTGTGTTCTAATTCTTTGAAAATTGGTATTCCATTGGTAATTATAACTTTCAGTTAACTGGAATTTTTGACTAACCGGCACCCCTCCATTCCCCCAATATGCCGGATAACAAAGCTTTTACTGTAATATCTTTTATTGGACAAACTTTAGAAGTTTGTCCAATAAAAGATACATCTCACACACCTTGTCTGTCTAATATCCTGGGACAGACAGGACTACAACTACACTGCATGCACTAAGCAAAGGGGCATTTAATTGTTCCTTCATTTAGCCTGAATGGGAGGCAGCTGTCACACCCAACAGCTTCAAAAGTTTGGTGTGACTGCCCAACCTCTCTTCCCCGCTCTCCCTGCATAACAATATATTATTGACAGGTTGAAGTTCACGTAACCAGAGACCCATCTAGACTGTACAAACCTACCAAGGGTTGGGAGGAACACACAAAAGAGATTGGACCAACAGATGTGCAGCCACTTTTACATATTCCACATAGGTAAGAAAAAGACTTAGATTTATATATTTTTAAAATACACTCAATGACCAGCTATTCATCCTTATTTTTCCCCATAGGGCTATCCCAACCTGGAGACAAGGGTTATAGCTGAACATCTGCATATATGAGAAGATGAATTACATACAAATAAAGTGACCAACTGGGTCCTTAGAAATTTTCATAAAACTTTTTTATGTAATAAAGAATATTGTGTATTATTACATGGGTTTCAAGTTCTGACCATTTAATTTTTTGTCATGTTAGCAGTGTATTCATTATGGTATGTATTTGATAACTGGCAATCATCCACAATTCCATAAATTTGAAAATGAAATAACAATATAAAAAGGTGACTGTAGATGTCATGGAACAACAATCAATTATATCAAAATTGCCATTCTTACACGTTATTCTAGACCCTAGACCATATATAATATAGTCACTTGGGGAAACAATGGAAGAAATAGTATTTTTAACTGACAAAAATGCTTGGTGTCAGTTCCTTCATGTTTTCTCCTACATATGCTGCATCCATAGTAAGCAACTTTTAAAAGATTGGTTTTTTTTAATATTTGAAGAAATAAAATGTCTCACAATTTAGATGGCGTGATAATAGAATGACTAATCTATGCTGCAAACTTAATATGACTTGGATAAGGAATACTACGCTATTTGGCAAAATAAATATTTATTTTGTTTAGTTCTTGTTTTAGTAATGCTATTTTGGTTATGTGTAGTGCCTTTCATCCAAGAATCTCAAAATGCCTTACAAATGGTAGGTGTTATCTCCATTTTATAGAAGGGGAAGTTGAAGAGCAGGGCAAGTGACTTGACCTGAGCCACAATGCTAGTTAATGCTGAAGCTGGGAATAGATCTTTGGTTTCCCATTGAAGTCAGTGGGAATTGTCCATTGCTCAGCACTTCTTTAAAAAAGATTAGGCTGTTTAGGTGCCTACATATGAAGTTAGATTCATAACTGTAGGAGCTCAGTTTTTTAAATCTTGCTCAAATCACTTTCTTACCTCTCATTCCCTTCTGCTGCACTAGTCCCATCATGATCAATGTTTGGCTTGCCTTCTTTGATGGTAAATCATACCCTACACCTTTATAAGCTTCCTTTTAGTACCCTGGCCCTTTATTTAGTCTTCCTATTAATCACTAGTCATCTACAATCTGAACCAGACTCTTTATTTGACTGGGAACATAGTAATTTATTCTCTGTATAAGATATGAGTAGCTGATATAGCCTTTTAAATCATAGGCTTTTACAGTGATTCAAATCCTATAAATAAGATAAGGCAATTCATATATATAATATGATATCCCACTTTGCAGTCTAAAAGAACTTCAGCTACTATTTTTCATCAATAAAATTTAAAAATTCCCTTTGTAAGATGGGAAACTTGTAGAAGATGTTTTCCTTGACACTGCCTGCATTCATTCCTTACTCACACAAAAACTGGAAATCACCTCTGAAAACCTCTGTTTTTCATTTGATTTATACTGTACCATACCAAAATAGATTTTTTTAAAATGCCTTGTATTCTCCTATTTCAACAGTTTGATGAATTTCTCCCTTCCTAAAGACAAATTAGGTAAACAGTTGAATAAAACCAAGTTCACAATAGGAGGTCATTTTTTTAGGACCTGAATATAAAAAGAAAATGACACATGGTATGTAGCCTTATATTCTATATCCAGCATCAATGCAGTTATAAGCATTGACTGAATACTCACAACTGGATCAGACCTGGGAGATACCTTCCCATTATGCGTCTCCAGAGGGGTAAGAAAAAACTCTGACAAAGAACATCTAGAAAACCTTACTTGCTCAGGATCGATCTTTAGATGTATTAATGTACTTGCACTATTGCAAACAAATGATGTCACTGCTATTATTGGACCTTAGCTAAAATTAGCTCAAGCAATTTGGGGCTGTATTCTGCTTTCTTCAAGCTTTTTCCCCTTATCTCACTTTGCCGTATTTTTCTGTAGCTACTGGACAGTGCATTTCTAACCAATTATTTACTGCACCTGGTGCCCAATTAACATTTTGTCTTTATTGCTATTGGTTAGCCCAAACCTTAAATAAGATAATACTGTTATTTCCAAGATCACTACAAGTTTGACACAAACAACCTTTCGTTCTCATGATCTCATTCTTTTTGGTCGCATGCTTTGGGCCTGACTCGCATCAAAATCCACTCCGTTTAAAACCAGAGTTCACCCAGTTCTAACATGGACCTATATTCTTCCTAGAGAATGAAACAAGTACCCTCCCTAGAGACTAGAGAGAAGCACATCCTAAATATTTCTGCTGGGCTTCCTGTGTGCCACTTTCAACCCTGACTTCTCATTTGGTTTATTTCACTGGAGAGGGATAACTGATTATGGGCTTACCACTGATACTATAGTGTAGGGTTACCATACATCTGGATTTTCCCAGACATGTCCAGCTTTTTGGGCCTCAAATCCGCGTCCGGGGGGGAAATCCCCAAAAGCCGAACATGTCCGGGAAAATAGGGACATGCGGGGTCGGGGGCCGGGCCGGCGGTGCTGGGCTGGGGGCTGGCCCAGGGCCCAAGCCGAGCCAGGCTGGAGACACTGGGGCCGGGGCCGGCGGGAGCCGCTCGGTTGGGGGGGTAGACTGGGCCACGCCTCCTCCCCCCACCCAGCTTACCTGCTGCAGGTTTCCCGCGAATCAAATGTTCGTGGGAAGCAGGGGAGGGGGTGGAATTGGGGCAGGGACTTTGGGGAAGGAGTGGAGTTGGGGCTGGGGCCCTGTGGAGTGTCCTCTTTTTGGACACTTAAAATATGGTAACCCTACTATAGTGTCTGTGCTCAGATGTAGCAGATAATATGTCATCAAATCAGATGCATCATTTACTGCAGGGGTGGGCAACCGATGGCAGGTTGCTGCCTGCCGGGGTCCCAGCAGGCAGCAGCATGCCATTAAAAATACTGCCTGGGCTGGCCTGCCCTTCTCTGCCCTGCCCCACCCCCTCCCGCGGGGGCAGGGAGCAGAAGCTTGGTGCTGCTGGGTTCCTACCCCTCCTCCCTCCCTGCCGATCAGCTGATGACCCTTGCAAGGGAGGTGGTGGGCGGCGGAGGCAGAGTAGAGAAGAAGCGGGGGAAAGGGGTGTAGAATAGAGGCATAGCCCCTCCTGCTCCCTGCCGTGAGCAGCCCATGACCCAAGCCCACACACACCCCAGGCCCATGCCCTGAGCCCTGTACTCCCCTCCCATACACCCAGGAGTTGCGGCGTGGGCCGGAAGTGTTGCATCCCCGAGTCACGTGATACTGAGACGTCTCGTCCTCAAGGACACGCTAGCCTCGAGATCACGTGAGCGAGCGCCGGATGTGGCTTGTGACGCACATTGTGCGCGCCGGGTGGCTGCCAGGGTGGGGAGGGCGGATAAGATGGCGGCGGAGGAGGAGGATCCGGGCATTGGGGACGAGGAGCGGCTGGATTTCCTGAAGGAGCGGCACGTGCGCTTCTTCCAGCGCTGCCTGCAGATCCTGCCCGAGAGATACTCGTCCCTGGAGACTAGCAGGTACCAGCCCCACTGGGGAGGTGCTGGGGGGAGGGAGCTGCTGCTGCTGCTCCCGCATAGGCGCCGGAGTGGGGTGGGGGGGGCGTTGGGACTGTCCCGGGGCCCGTCACATCGAGGCGCTTCCAGGTCGGATTCCGCTCGTGTCCGGCTTCCAGACTGGGGGTCCCGCCCGCTCGCGTCTCGGCCACTCTGATGTCCCAGCGCTGGGGTCTGGTCTGCGACACGGTCTCTGGATCTGGCTTCCCCGTGTCCAGCTTTAGGGCAGGTCTCAGCGCAGCCGCTCCCTGCCTGGGTGCTGGACAGGCGGTTCGCAGCTGCTGTTCGGGGACAGCTCGTGCCGGGGCTCTGGGTAGTGTGCGTTGAACTGCTCTTCCTGTCCTGCGGGTGGCTGCACCAGCCTGTGATGGGAAAACGGTCGCTATTGCACGATCGTCAACGCAGCTGCCCTGCTTGTAGTAACCGCGAGGAGGATGGTGTAGGTAGGGCATAGGCGTTCCTACCATTTCTGATCATGCAGGTCTGAATGTCACTGTGGTAAAATACCATTGATCTTTCTAAACGAGCATTCTTAGGAGTAAAAAGAACAAGGAGTTCTTGTGGCACCTTAGAGACTAACAAATTTATTTGAGCGTAAGCTTTTGTGGGCTAAAACCCACTTCATTGGATGCATGCAGTGGAAAATACAGTAGGAAGATATAGATAGATACACGCAGAGAGAATGTGGAAAAAATGGGTGTTGTTGTAACAAGAGTGATCAGTTACTGTGAGCTATTATCAGAAGGGGGGGGGAACCTTTTGTAGTGATAGTCAGGATGGCCCCTTTCCAATAGTTCACAAGAAGTTGTGAGCAACAGCGGGGGGGGGGGGGGAAGGGGAGGAAGCATAAGTATGGGGAAATAGTTTTACTTTGTGTAATGACACATCCACTCCCAGTCTTTATTCAAGCCTAATTTAACGGTGTCTAGTTTGCAAGTTAATTCCAATTCAGCAGTTTCTCTTTGGAGTCTTGTTTTATATATAGTTTCTGTGTGTGTGTGTATTTATATATATCTTCCTACTGTATTTTCCACTGCATGCATCTGATGAAGTGGGCTGTAGTCCACAAAAGCTTATGCTCAAATAAATGTGTTAGTCTCTAAGGTGCCACAAGTACTCCTTGTTCTTTTTGCTGATACAAACTAACACGGCTACCACTCTGAAACCATTCTTACAAGTGTTAGAGGAGCGATGTGAGAGCACCTGTGAATACTAGTGTAGTTAGGGCTTCAGTTTTTACCCTCCCAAGACCATCCGGGACAAAAATAGCCAAGAGAAAGTTGGGGTAAGCAGGTGATCCTTCCAGTCCTTGTGGCTGTCGTCCTCACACTGGAAGGAGCTCCTGCCTGCTGTATGTACTTAAGGTCACCAGGCATGCAGGCTAGATTAATTAAGTCACTTGTTTGAAAGCAATGATTTAAAACAGAAAGTAGAAAACCTTGATTTATAATCTTAGCTTTGTTTTCCATGTGTACTTTGAAGCTTTTCCTTGAGAAAATAAATTCTCATTGGTTGATATAGACATAAAGACACGTCAATTTTATTATTTACAACTAAATATAGTCATTAGACTAGTTTTGATGATTCCTTCTGCTACCCAGGAGAATGCACTATACTTGTATGTCTGTT